ATTATGCAAGTATAAGCTAGATTAGTGAACTATTGAGATAAAACTAATCTTGGAAGAGAAATTAATATCTCTTCATAGCCGCCCGCTGTTGTTTAAAATTTTAATTGAAAATTTTAAGTGCGTACATACATTTTAAATATGTAAATTAAAGTTCAAACATATCAGCTTTTACTCCGTCCTGATGGCCAGGTGCAAAGATGTATGCACTTAAAGCCGTTGTGATCTAAGCGTCCGTAAAATGAACATTAACTTCCTTTTATTATATGGGCGTTTTAAAATCTACTCATAAAATGTGCATAAATGTAATATAGATTGATCATGTAGATTTAATACGCCAATCGAAAAGACCCAATGGTTATTATGATCTTGCAAACCCTAGAGGGATAATCTCCCAAGGCCGTCGTGATTTGACAAGTGGGAACTGTAACCACACAAAATGGTCATAACTAGTTTATGTGTGGCATATGAATCAAGAACAATTAAAGTGAGGTTAAAATTACGGTTAAGTTTGACACTATAATTAAATTTGACCTTACATGTGGATATTTAAAAATATTGGGACACATGTAAAAAAAAAAAAAACTATTTCTGAAAGTTTTGGCCTAATGAAATTTACACTCAAAACTGACAATGGAATTCGTCAAAAATCATTCTTCTGACACTGGGTATATTTTCTAATTTCATAGTAAAAGATATTACTTTCACTTGTTTCAACAGTGGTATGATGTCCTTAACTTGAAGACATTAAAGAAAGCCATTTTATTAAACTTTATTAAATATACTTCCAAATGGATACTTGATTTATAAAGGTAAAACATTTGATTCATTATTCGACTTTTGTCACAAAGATAACCAAAGACGAAGGATCGACTAAAAAGCTAATGAAGACTAAAGGGAAAAGATAGTAAAAAAAAATCCATGATTATTACAATGTTCAACTTTATTTCTCCAAATAATGACAACCTAAAAATAACTATTTCTTTTTTTAAAAAAAAGAAACTGCTTGACGTTTCCTAATCAAACAGCAAATATTGCGGTTGGACTAAAATGTATTTTAATTTCCTATCATTTCAGTATTGTAGAAAGCAAATGTTGAACTGTTTTGGAGTTTTATTTTATTTTCAGCATGTATGACAGTGTCATCTGCATCATGAAACAAGTGGTTTATTGTGGTGATATTACATCTTTACAAATCCCCATTTATCAACAGAATCAGCTTGTGCACCGTAAACACATAAACCCAAGGAAAATCCACAATTGTCGTCGATAGACAGGGAACATATAGTTTCTTTTATTGCACATAAATGGTTTCAGTCTTGAAGATGAATTAGTTAATTATGTTTGTTTTTAGTTTTAAGCGAATGCCAATGATAGTTCAAGTGAGAATGACAGTTTAAGTGTATGACAGTTAATACGTATGACAGTTCAGTTCAAGTGAGATTCTGCGCTGTACGTGCATGAAATTGAAGGAGTTTGGTAATGGAAACTTTCAAACAGTAACACGCAATCAACTTTTTAAATCATATAGCCACGAGACCACGTAAATATATTCGCTTGATTAAAGCATTTCATTCATTCGGCTTATCTAACATGTAAAGTCAAACAAGTACAACCTATGCATGCATGCATGCATGCATGCATGCATGCATGCATGCAGTATGTATGTATGTATGTATGTATGTATGTATGTATGTATGTATGTATGTATGTATGTATGTATGTATGTATGTATGTATGTATGTATGTATGTATGTATGTATGTAGGTAGGTAGGTAGGTAGGTAGGTAGGTAGGTAGGTAGGTAGGTAGGTAGGTATGTAGTTAGGTAAGTAGGTAGGTAGGTGGGTAGTTAGGTATTAATTATAGCTTGGAAAGTAATTAGTGGACAGTTTTATGTGTTAACTGTATTTAGTAACATCAACTTCTGTGCCCTTCGAGAAGCAAGCAAATTTTGCAGAATAATGCCAAGTATCATTAGTTATGTTTGCAGGGTTATTTTGTAAACATAGGTAGGGAGATTTTGTGTCGTGTTCTGATATAAAGACTTTATATCCGACTGGTTGCTGAGTCACCGTCAATATGACCGACATAAACCAGTGATAAGATAAGAAGGGAGTTTCCTTATTACGTTTCGATGACACACAGGTATTAAAAGTAGGTCACTAACTTCATGAAAATAGTATAAAGTCTTCTCTCTCTCTCTCTCTCTCTCTCTCTCTCTCTCTCTCTCTCTCTCTCTCTCTCTCTCTCTCTCTCTCTCTCTCTCTCTCTCACTCTCTCTCTCGTGTGTGTAATCATTAATACAACCTGTCGATAATTCCAAAGTGAGGAAACAAGAAGCATTGATTGTGTTCTACTTTTTGTTTATTATCTCTGAATATGTATTACAATGATTAAAAGAAGACAATTTATAAACAATAAAATTTGGAACAAAAGCCGTGAATGGTATCTATGCGTGAAAAGAAGGATCACCAGAAAAGGAACGTTTCCTATCATTGAGCTATTGGCCAAACTTCGTATTTAAGTTAACTGTCAAATTTGGAAAAAAAATTATTTTGCTCTTTGTGTATATAATAAAACTGTTTCAAATATTTTAGACCATAGCAAGTTGGGTGGTAGGCAGAATTGCCATTACTGTCATCTACTTGCCTTTGTATGGTCCAGCGACTGTCATGGCTTTGATTGTTTAATTACTGTTATCTACTTGCCTTTGTATGGTCCAGCGACTGCCATTGCTTTAATTGTTTAATTACTGTCATCTACTTGCCTTTGTATGGTCCAGCGACTGCCATCGCTTTTATTGTGTAGTTACTGTCATCTACTGGTCTTTGTATGGTCCAGCGACTGCCATCGCTTTTATTGTTTAATTACAGTTATCTACTTGCCTTTGTATGGTCCAGCGACTGCCATCGCTTTTATTGTTTCATTACTGTCATCTACTTGCCTTTGTATGGTCCAACGACTGCCATCGCTTTTATTGTTTTTTTTTTACTGTTATCTACTTGCCTTTGTATGGTCAAGCGACTGTCATCACTTTTATTGTTTAATTACTGCAGTATCAATTAAAATATGATAATAATTACAGTATTCTTTCTTGAGACTTCCGTATAAATTTTTACAAAATCCAAAGTGGCAGACACTTGGAGAATGAACAGCAAATTCTGTAGGAGTTGCTTCTCCGTAACGTTTTGTCTAAATTTTGCATCAATTGTATCGTAAGTACGTACTTAAAGGCAACTATCTGAATTTCCGGAACCTGTATAGTGCCCAACGCTTCGCAGAATAATCAGCAAGGTAAAGAGTTTGTGCTTGCACTGTGAGCGTCACATTGCGACAACAACGTTCTTCGGACGTGAAAGATGGAGGATCAAATCTGGAGGTGCATAAACTTCTGTTCTGAACTGCCATTTACTTCTCTGACCAAGTGAACAATATTCCCATGATTTGTGTTAATATAGCTATCCAAAATTATGGACCTTTTTAATCTAACTTGTGTATTTTATTTTGTAATTTTGTTTCTATGTTCGGCAGGAGAATTCGGCCTTAAATTTGTGCGTTAAACTATCCATTTAACTCTAAAAGCCAGTCTGAAATACGAAAGACAAGACACGAAACAAACACCACATGGTCCGTTACCTGTCGCCGTTTATTACTTAATTAAGCAAATAAACCCTGTGTGTGTGTGTGTGTGTGTATATATATATATATATATATATATATATATATATATATATATATATATATATATATATATATATATATATATATATATATATATATATATATATATATATATATATATGTATATGTATATATATATATATATATATATATATATATATATATATATATATATATATATATATATATATATTCTGTAAGTCCATATTAATTTCAAAGTTGTGTATTAACGATGAATGCATGTCTTTGAGCGACAATGAAATACTTGTACAACCGGGGATCGAAAGACAATACATTTTTGCCATTTATTGAGAGGTGTCCATTATATAAAAGAGTATGTAGTACGTGTACTGAAGCTATATGTATATTTATTGATATGAACTTATCATTACAAACATCTTATTGTTGTTGTAGGGTTTTAACGCCAATATGTAGCACAAGACAGGCTGTACACGGCGACCAATGTAAATGGTGGAGAAATAACCCAGGAAAACATAGGAAACTCGAATCCACGCAGAGGTGAGATGGTAGTGATCCGTAACGGTGATCGCTTTAGACCATTCGTCCACTAGCCCCCTCCCCGTTATGAACATCTACTGGTGTTTCCAATCATGTGTTCTGGTATAACGGTACCAATTACCCAAGTCCAGGTGTGTGGAGCTTAAGGTGTAGTGAACATTGCATTCAGAAATAAATAACACTAGCTGTGATTGGTGCATTTTGTAAGAGTTGTACTTTCTGTTAGGCTTTGAAAAAAAGTTGAGCCTCTTGGCAACATGTGAGATTATGTTAATTCCTATCTAGATCATATTTTGTATTTTTTTATGATTTTTTTTGAAAATGTTGTACACGTGACTGAAAATGCCTGTTGTGACTAGATAACTCATAAACTTGTAGAGTTCCAACAGAGTTATCTCTCTTAAATGCAATGAAGTACCTGGTTCGATCATTGTCAATTTGACAGTCTAACACTGTTCTCTTGAAAAGCGTGTGATGTGCATGCACAATAAGGATAGAAAATATATTAATTTCCACAAACATTAACATTAAGGTTTATGGAAAAACATTTGGTACCGTGATACCTTCTAGTATAAGTGTGTGCGTGTGTGTATGTGTGTGTGTGTGTGTGTGTGTGTGTGTGTAATTTGAATTTTTACGATGTCTGCAGTGTGATATGTTGATTTGGAGCATTGGGGCATCATCCTGCATAGCATCCAGTCATATTATCCTGACAACAGGCCGACCAGTACAACCACTAACCTCTTCATACTGAGCGCCTAGCGAGGCAGCTGTAAGTACCATGTTTACAAGTCTTTGGTTTGACTCAGCCAGGGTTCGAACTCACGACCTTCCGCACCTGAGGCGGACGCTCTAACCACTAGATCACCGGAGCGGTCTACTAGTATAAAAGATCGTAATATATCTATTAACGTTAAGAAGTGAATAGATCTTTACAAGGATCTTCCACGAGTATGACTATGTTTGTTACATGGTACATTGTACTGTATAAAAAGGATCCAAATAGTGTCCTCCGTCAACGTTTGATATACAGTAATTTCCTTCAGACCTACGTGGATGTGTCTTTTCTAAACAGGTGTCCTTGATGTAGATGTGTAATTTAAGACAGGTTTCATTCTCTTCGCATATTTGCGTCTGCATGACAATTTGGAGCATTACTTCATGATTCCGAGTTTATTCTTTACCCTCATTGGCGCTTCAGAAACCCCAACGTTTTAATTTGACCCACAGATTTAATAACAAAGTTTGTTTTTTACACAGTCTGAACCCGAGTTTTGATATCAAGGAGATTTTTGACTACGAGTCATGCACACTAAGGCGATACACTAGTGCAATATATGAAACCCAACAAAGCCTTTTCAAAACGAATTAAATTTACCTAATTTTGTTCTGAACTTAATAAATCAAATTCCATAACTAATATTCAACATATAGCCTTAGAATTTACGTAAATGTTGATCAATATGCCTCAAAAGATACCGATTAAATGTAGTCTATAGCAGTACGATTTGTACCTGTAAGCAGGCTAAAGTTTGTAATGTAACTAAACAATCTTAAAGAAGAATTTAAGGCCCCAATTTCAAATTGATAAAGCCATATGCTATACAAATAAGCTCTTAGGTACTGTTTGAAAGCTAGAATTAGTATCTTTACGAGACAGTTCCCTGGTTGTGCCTTCAGTGTAAGTTGGTTAATAGCTGGTTTTGAAAGGAACACCGTCAAAGTGTAAAAATGATTTTTTTTCCCTCTCTTATTCTAAGTGTATATATCTAGATGAATAAATGAAATTTTTCCAAGGTCGTGAAAGTTTATATCCGGTGCGAAGCTCTGATGTTTATATAATACAATTGCATGAATATATTTTACAACACCTTCGTCGGTATTGGTTTCCTTCTCATCTTAGGATCTTAGCTGATATTTACTGTAGAAAAATGATTAGCTAAGACATGTACATTTTATTTATAAATGAATTGTTACTGCCCTTCAAAAAGGCCCGTTCCAATTCCTGTAGTTTTATGTATTCTGCTGACAGAGACACGGGGTGACAACACAAATGGATTTTTACCCAAAATGTGGATTTTTCCTCTTATGAAGAAAGTTTGCAGATCTTCGTCTCGTCAATAACTTATCTTTCTATTTTATGTTGTATAGTTAAAACCTGAATTAATTCAAAGCTGAAGATAAATAACGGATAGATAATGTAAAATATTATTACAAGTTAAACGTAAGTTAACTTTCACAAAAATCAATTAAATACATTCTATCATGCTCTCTTAGACATAAAGAAAATATATTTTTGGTTTCGGAATTTTGGCCGTTTTTTATTTGTGTATATTTGTATGGACTTTACATATTTTGTTTCCAGTTCTTGTATTCATTATGGAAATTGATAGCTCATGTTTTTGAGCTCTATCAATTCAACTTTATCTAACACGTATAGCGGTGTAGATTTACATGTAAATTGTCGTGAATTAAACAAAGGCACAACAATTCAGTTCATAGAGAGAAGATCTACTATATAAACATGGCCAAACAATTCGATATAACTCCCTGGATACAACATAATAGCAAACGATTTTGGAATGACTCACACAAAGAACACTTTTCCGGATTGAAAAAGTGTTATTGATATAGAAAGTATGATACATCTCTTTCTTCTGCTTTATGCAGATAATTGGCTCATACAGCAATGCAATGTTTATTAGACGTATCTAATTGGCTCATACAGCGATGCAATGTTTATTTGACGTATCTAGTTGGCTCATACAACAATGCAATGTTTATTAGACGTATTCAACACTGGCTATTGAAAACTTAAGGTAAATCTTGATGAAACGGAGAAAATGGTTTTCTGAAATATTTTAGGGCACGAAATTGAAGGTTAGTTCTCAACGAAAGTACTTAGGAATTGTATTTTTAATCAAGAGGAGTCTGGGATATATGTAAATAATAAACATCAGTAAAGCGAGCACGTAAATGCATTCCATTCTCTTAAAACGCAAAATGTTTAAATGTAGAACATCTTCTGCAAATATCTTATTTAAAATTCCTAGCAGTAAAACTTTTCCTATCTAGTCTTATACCTGAAGTGTGAGACTTTAGTGAACATCTGATGTAGAAAGAGTAATTTCATAAAGTATCTTGACTTGAGGGTAGAAGCAGTAGCTCCAAAATGTTCAGAAATGTTTACTGGATATCGTTTTGGTGTGATTTGGTATAACCAAGTAGTGGGGAACAGAGACTTGTATGGATATGCTAAAGACCTGATGTTAAAATATACCAGCAGATACACAACAATTAGCATACTTGTATGGATATGCTAAAGACCTGATGTTAAAATATACCGGCAGATACACAAAAATTAGCATACTTGTATGGATATGCTAAAGACCTGATGTTAAAATATACCGGCAGATACACAACAATTAGCATACTTGTATGGATATGCTAAAGACCTGATGTTAAAATATAACGGCAGATACACAAAAATTAGCATACTTGTATGGATATGCTAAAGACCTGATGTTAAAATATAACGGCAGATACACAACAATTAGCATACTTGGACGGATATGCTAAAGACCTGATGTTAAAATATACCGGCAGCTACACAAAAATTAGCATACTTGTATGTATATGCTAAAGACCTGATGTTAAAATATACCGGCAGATACACAAAAATTAGCATACTTGTATGGATATGCTAAAGACCTGATGTTAAAATATACCGGCAGCTACACAAAAATTAGCATACTTGTATGTATATGCTAAAGACCTGATGTTAAAATATACCGGCAGATACACAAAAATTAGCATACTTGTATGGATATGCTAAAGACCTGATGTTAAAATATACCGGCAGCTACACAAAAATTAGCATACTTGTATGTATATGCTAAAGACATGTACTGGTAAAAACTAGCACAAGGAAGTGAATTGAATAGGCATAATGAGGATATAGTGTTTGAAAACCTGACTTATGTGTTGAAGATTAATTGCTTTATTTATAAAAGCAAATTTTAGGACTATATACTTTAAACCGAGGGTGGTCACTTGATGTTAAGGTTAATTCAGAGCGAAATGAGAAATTGAAGATAGTTTGTCCATACTTAACGCATTTGTATTTGAACTCACGTAGCGAGATATGTTTTAATTACTTGATGAATAATGATATAAAAACCAGTGCATCTATTTGTAAATTTCTATTCTTTAGGATGGAACCATGAAAAGTAATATGAAAATAATAACACTTACTATATATGTGTTTTGCTATGCGAATCTCATAGCTGTTCTTTTTCATTATTATTTATCTGTGTAATTCGGACCGTGATATATATATTAATAAAATAAACTTGTATCATTATTATTAAGTCCGAAAAACCTCAAATTATATACGACCCCATTTTCCAGTTAATTAATGATGTCATCAAGGGTGCCTTACTCGAGATAGATAGTACCAGAACACATATTTTTGAAGATAACCTATTTACAAAGCACCATTCATCGAAAGAATCCGCTTCTGCACTCTAGGCTTGTGAAGTAGCAGGAGCTAATCTTCACTCCGCTCAGTCACAAATGAAATTAAAATATGACAAAAAATACAAAGGAAATGAGTTTTCAGCCTGGTGACACAGTTCTGTCTGTCTTGTCCCTACCTCAAAATAGTCTTCAGGCTAAATACTTTTGTTCTTATACAAATGAAAGAAAGAAAGTGACTTAAATTATATCATAATATTTCTTGGTGGCAAAAAACCCAAACAACTTTGCCATATAAATATATTGAAGGAGTATGTTGATAGATATAGTCCTGTTAATCAGTCAGTTTGGTTATACATATCCCACATAGTGAAGTCAGTTTAGTTGTACCTATCCCACACAGTAAAGTCAGTTTGGTTTGTTGGGATCAACACAGTGAAGATTTAGGTGATGAGATTTAATGGGACTGTGGTGACTTTTTGGAAAAAAAACAATTTGCTGAGTTCAGAAATATTGAATAATCTGGACCAGAAACTTCACATTAACAACTACAAGACAAGAATGAAACAAAACAGCATTTGAATATGAGCACTTGTTTCCAGATGTTCCAACATGAAGACATAAAATCTACCATGATATTGAGATTATAGATTCTACACCTGTGAAACAGCATCCATACAGGATGAATCCTCTCTATCATGAATGATTGAAAAACGAAATTCAGTATTTGCTGGAGAATGATTTCATAGAACCAAATAAAAGTGACTGGAGGTCATTATATATTCTTGTGTCAAACCAGATAATAATTTTCGCATGTGCACAGACTAGAAAAGTGAACACCACAACAAATTCATTTCCAAGGCCAAAATCAATGACTGAATTAATAAATTAAAATGCATGATATGTCAGCAAATTTGACATTTTTAAAGGATTCTAACAAATTCCACGGACGGAGAGGGCAAAAGACATTTGGGAATTTGTGACTCCGGATGGACTTTATCAACATAAAGTGATGCTGTTTGGATGAGATGTTCGCCTTGTATTTGTAAACGTTTAATGAACATGACTACATCTGGTCGAGATAATTATGACAATTACGTCGACGACATCATCATTTACAAAGATATCGTGAGAGATCGCTTGGAACCATTCGGAAATTCTTTGACAGACTTAGTGATGCAAATTTAACAATTAATTTAGGCAAAAGTGAGTTTTCTGTGATTATATAACATTTTTAGGACACATAGTAGGACACGGTCAAAGTAAAACTATGGAAGGTAAGGCCAATGCTATATCACAATTACATGTACTATCAATAAAAAAATTCGTGATTTTGACGAATGGCTGGATATTATAGGAAATTGTGCTCCAAATTGTCCATTATGGCAGAACACCTGAACAA